GGCATGTGCCCAACACCTTACCTCCTCTCTAAGCTCCTTCATCCTCTCCTCAAAGTCATAATCCTTCTGCTTCTCCTCCATCTTCTTCTTGTTCACTTCAAAGCGTTTTTTCACTTGATCCAGTGTGGAGCGCTCCACCCTCATAGACATGCCCAGATTCCTTTGATCTGTAGAAGATGGAAATGGACAGCAGCCATGTTAGTTGCAGATTAGTTACAACTAGACAGTTACATACAGCCTACCCAGTGAGCCCAAAATGGAAGTCATTTTTCCATGTCAGTTTCTTCTCTTCCAATTCCAAGACCACCCTGGGCACATCCACTTACACCAGTGTCTTCCAATAACTTGCAGTGCGACCATGGGACCCAATTTACTATTGCCCTCAAGTCTTAGGGAGTCATTTGCAACAATGTAAAGAAGTAAAATGCATCACTATTTTAACAGCACTTTCTCCCAGTGGAAAGTGGAAGAAAATGACTACTTAAGGGGCAGTGCAATAGTGAACCTAACTCACAATGTATGAAACTTTGGCAGAGAATGAGTGCCACGTTAATGAGATGTATTTCCTCAATTGATCTGCTGGTGGAATTCTGTGCCATTATACACAGATGTACCAGTGTACAAATCACTGTAAAGAAAGAAGGGTAGGACTCTGCTGTGTTTCAGTTCTGTCATGGTAAGTGGCCACGTGCTAGGTCTTAACTTATAGTAGCTCAATCTTCATTCACTGAGACCTAAGCTAATGCAGGCTAGCTTTCATGTATTGGGACAGGAGGGAAAGATGTCCAACTCTCAGCTACCATGCTATTTGCTGTAATAGCAGGCAAAATATTTACAGACAAGTATGATTTTTTAAGAGGATCCTATTTCTTTAAGATTCTGCCAAAGTTAGCCCTCCTTCTAATCCAGTTGTGACACTTTGGAGCTGTTCCGAATAGAAAACCTACTCAGGGGCAGGGGGTCAGACCCAATGATCTGCTGAGGTCCCTTCCGACCCCAATATCTATGAATCCCACATGCTGAAGGGATGTAAAATGCACATGCAAGTCTGAGAATTAAGTTCTACCACACAGCAGCACTTTTTAATAAGGATGGGACAAATAAGTGAGAAGAGTGGCATTCTGTAAACAAGATTTCTAGCTACAGGTAAAATGGAGGCACCAAGATTAAAGAGATATTTCTGCCATGAAACACCAAAGTAAACAAGTGGTTCAGAGCCTACACAGAGCCATTTCCAAGTTTTCTATTAAGTGGAATCTGTTGCCAGTGAATTTCCATATAGCACTCTTTTCAAGCACATTTGTCTGGTGGGTCAGATGACACTCTCAGCTTTCTGCATGCATACTGCCAGATAATCCACTGCTTGTCTCGGATGTGCTCTGGAAGGACAGCAGGACTGCCTCATTTTCTCTCTCTCAACTTTCCCCAACATGAAGGAAGCTAGGATGTTTATACAATACTGAAGAACCTATCATGGTCTATAAAACAGAATTAGAGATCTCTAAATTCAGAGATTTTCAGTGAGCCATCCCATATAGAACTGGAGCGCCTAGTTAGGAAGAAAAGTTTCCAGAAGAGAATTGCATGGAGGAATCCCACCCAGAATCTGTACTCAGCTGCTTTTAGTCTCAGACTATCCCAAGAGGAGTCTAAGGAAGAAAGAGGATGGAGGTTTAGTAGGAATCTGGTACATTTCAAATCATACATTACAGACAAATTAACAAGCAACATCATAGGGAAGGAGAGTTGAACAGGCCTCAATTTAGATAAAGTCCTGTTCAAATCATGCAGATCTGGACCAAAACTAAAAGGATGGCATTCACAATCTTACACATGAAGTTTAGAATGTACACAGCTCACATTATCCACACCATTAGGAAAGATCAAATTGGTATTCAGCTGCCCCCCAACTGCTTAACTCTCTCTAAATTCAGTAAGAAACAGAAAAACCAGTTCCCTTCCTGAAGTCTAGATTCTACAAAGTCAGAGTTCAATAAGGCTCCAGTACCAATCTCTCTCTATTTACAGTCTCAGAAACTCAAATTCAGACCACTTCTCAGGCAACTGGCTAATGGCAGTTTTAGCTGCCATCACAGAATTTTCCACAGCTTCCTGTTATTTCATACCAGTAATACTCCAAGGAAACACACTTTGGAGTTTTTTTCATAGAAATGTGAAAACATGTCTGAAATAGAAGGCATTAAATCAATCTTCTGAAGGAAGAAATACTTGACAAGAAGCAGAAAAACCTTATTCATAATGGGTTTGATTAGTTTTACAACAGAGAGAAGACAAACACCTTCACTGTGGTTTCAAGGATTAAAGAGATAAATATGGGGAACAGAAGCCTTTATTCTAGAATGCAAGCAACTATTTCCATAGCATACATCTTTAAAATGGATGGATATTTTTCTTCTTTTGAGAAGGACTGCTAGAGAAAAAAAAATGAAATAGGAAAAATGGCCCTTTTCAATCATGTCTACCACCCATCAGCCAGACATTAAAGAAAAAAAGAAACATCAAAGTCTATGCACCAAAAAAGGAAAGACACAAGGAAAGAAAATGACGCCACAAAATCTACAAAAATATGAAGACTTTCAAAAAGCAAATGGTCTATGACAAGGGTTTTCAATCTTTTTTAAAACGTGTGTACCCCAACAGCCACATTTTTAGTAACTGTACCCTGGGGTGGGGTGGCAAGTGGCCAGACACAGAAGGTGGCGAGCGGCGTCAGGGCAACCCTACTCTCGCCCCACCCCAGCTCTGTTCCTGTGAGACCGTGATGCAGGGTGGCAGCGCTCCATCCCTGCCCGCCCTTGCATACTCCCTGGGACCTTTCAAAGTACCCCCAGGGGTACACGTACCCCTGGCTGACAACCCCTGGTCTATGAAACAGGCTTAAAAGGGCTCATAATGCAACTTCTTTTCACTGAAATTGTGTACAAGACATATTGGAGCTAAGACATAGGAGAGAGTGGAAAGGAGAGGAGAAAAACAGCTGTTACTTGGATTTTTGGAACAAGGAAGAGGAAATCCATTTATATGCTTCTACTCAGAGTTCCAGGAGTCCCCTGTGGTTCAGTGGTAGAATCCTCATCTACCACAATGGTCCAATTCCCAGACACTTATACAACTACATCCCTGGAGGCACCAAACATCTGGATTCAGTCTGGTCTTTGGATTCCGTCTCAGTGGCCAGAAAGGAAGGATGGAAGATCTCAGCAGCCTCCACTCCTCCAAAAATTCCCGCCCAGGCATATGTATCAAAAGTCTGAGTGGCCCCCATACATACACCATGATCCAGGTTGCCACTCAGAGTTCCATCATCACAGCACCTTTGCATTCCACCAGTATGGAGGGATTTAGCTTCCTTGTCTAGGAAATCCAGTTCTGATGTAAGAAATGTTCTGAGTAGGGGTAAACGGATAGAGATTTTTGGGGCTGATGCCAATATTTAAGGAGGCATATTGGCTGATACCGATCCGATTTCTTATACAGCTGCCTCTAGCTGGTAGGTCCAGTGTGGTGGAAGGGGAGGAGGGAGGGGAGGGGCATGGGGGTGCAGATCAATGCCCGCTGCGGTCAGGGAGGTGAGGGAGGGGGCCCCATTGGGCCGATATCTAATACAGCAAATTTTCTTTATATCAGTACCAATGTATTGGTGCACCCCTAGTTCTGAGATTTTTCTTTGGGGCTATAACAAGATCCAGAGCCTTGGCTGTTTGGACTACAATCTCAAGGAAAGGCTTGAAAGCTTTTTGCAGCAACACTGAATATGGCGCCTTGCTTGGAGGAATCCATTTTCTTCCTATATTCATCCTTCTTAGGAAGGGAATTTGAAGAAAAGGATTTAGACACAGAACCGCTCATTAAAGGACCTTCTCTCTAAACTACTCAAGGAAGCCAGGAGCAGCGAGGAGAGAAGGGATCCAGGCACACGTGTGTCCCGCACGCATGTGTGCCCCCTTATCCGACCAGAGGTGGACGCAGCAGCAGTGGAGCCAGCAGTGGGGGCAGCATCAGCTGATCCCCCTAAGGTAAGTGGGCAGAGGGACCGGACACAGCTGAGCCGGATCCGGAGGGGAAGCCCCTCCCGGATCCCTCTTAGCTGAGCCGGTAGGGAGCCGCGCTATGCTGCACGAACAGAGCACGCCAGCATTTGCGCCAGCAGGCGAGCAGGAAGAGCCAGGAGGGAGACTCCTGCTAGGGCAAAGTGAAGGCACTGCACTAAGCTATAAACAGACAGCAACTCCTACGATGGTATCGATGCAGAGTGCTGCCAGGGCCCCTGCCCGGGGGGCACAGCCTACCCAGGGCTTGTCTGAGGCCTCCACCCAGACAGAACCCATGGGGAAGCTGGCGTCCCCCCACCCCCTGGCCTGTGGGGGTTACCTGGCAAGGCCCAGGGGGGCAGGGATTGGGAACCCCCACACCTGTCCTGCAGGCACCCACCTTAAGGCCCTGGAGGCGCAGGTGAGGGAGCTCCAGGAGAAGCTTAGCAGGCTGAGGGGAATCAGGGAGGTGGAGGAAGAAATTGACGGCTATTTCCTTTCCCTGCAGGGCCACGCACCCAAGGAAGAAGCACCC